CGCCGGCTCATGGCGGTGGGTAGAAATGGAGGATCTCAGTGCCCAGAAGTGCCTTTGGTCCTTAGTCCTGTGAGCTGTGGGAGGAAGGAAGAGCAGGGAGGGGGTGGCAAGTGAGAAGGTTTATCTGGCTACGAGTCAGGTCCTAGAACAGGGAACTTTCTTCCAGGTGATGAAAGAATGGCAAAGGGTAAGGTCTTTGCCACCTATAAAGTGCTGCTTAAAAATTCAAGGGGCTGGGATTTGGGGCCTGACTTCTCCTTTGAGACCCACGCAGGGAAGAGCAGAGTTTGACTGGGCCTGAAAGCTTCCTGGAAGTTGAAGTGGTTTGGGGAGGAGCCTCAATGCCAGGCTGCCCTCCTGCTGTCAGCCTTGGATGAGCATCTCTTCAGGAAATGGTTTCTCTCCCAGCCACACCTTGTCCAGAATCAGAGGCCTTGGTCCTGGGATCTTGGCTCAAGGCCAGCGATGGGGCTAAGACTGCAGCCCCCCAAAATCCCGAACTCTGCATCTCTAACATAGTTCGGGCATATGGGCTCTTGTCTTTTTCTAAAATTTTGCCAAGGAGAAGTTCCTCCTGCCAGCTAACCGAGTCTATCCTGCTACTGTTTTCATCAATTTCCTCCCATCCTGTTGGGGGACGCAGTGTAAGGTGGATCTCTCCTCTTTCCACTCCTCTCTTCACATGGTCCTAACCATGGTCTGGCTTTTGCCTACCATACTTCGGTCCCGCTTCTCCTATGGGTCCCCTTTCCTGCTGCACTCTCCTGGGGTGGGGTCCTCACCGCCCCCCCCTCCCCCCGCGAGGGCCAGATTTGCAGGAGTGGGGAGGGTGAAGTGCCTTTTCTTCAGCCAGGGTCTGTGCTATGCTCTTCCCCAGGGGACTCACCGAGCTTTTCCAAAGCCCTATCCACTGACTCCTGCCCCTCCCCAGCCCCGGGCATCCCTGTGCCCTTCACGCCGTTTCTGCGGCCCCAGGCCTGCGGCCCGGGCCTCCCCGCACCCTCCTCCGGCCTCCTGCCCCGGCACTGCGTTCTTAGGAGACGAGGTGTCGGGGCCGTGCAAGGCGCGCGGGCCGCTGTCCGGCCAAATATAGACACCAAGTCCGCCCCGCCCGGGACCGAATTTGGCGGCGCGGGGGAGGGGGCGCAGATCTCTGCCCCCTCGAGAGACCCCGCCCGCTGCGGTGGCTTCGGTGGCGGCGTGGGATGGGGGGTGGGGTGGTACCTGGTCCTGAGTGGGCCGAGGGGCGCTCACTCTGCGACTCCTCTGTTGAGGGGGCTAGGGGTGCGCTGGGGGCCGAGGGAGTCAGGGTGCCGGAACTGCCTCTCCGGGCGTCCGCGGCGTCTGGGGCCCGGGCGTTCCTCTGCGCGCTCGGGCCGCTGCTTGCGGCTCTCCGGGGCCCGGCGTCGCCGCAGTCCCAGCTGCCGCTGCCATCAACCTGCGGGGGCGGGGCCTACGGCGGGGGCGGGGCCAGGGCTGCCCCGCCCCTCCAGCGGCGGGAAAGTCGAGCGCTGCAGGCTCCGCGCCGCCTGCCCGCCCGGCTCAGAAAACTGTCAAAAGTAATTGAGTGTGTACGCGCGGGTTGTGCGCACTCCTTCCCCGCCCTCCGTGCCTCCCGGGTGGGCTGGGCAGACCCAGGTTGGGCGCGTTGAGGGAGAGCCGGCAGCCGCGCAAGATCAGGTGCCTTCGCGCCGCATTCCTGCCGCAATCGCACTCCCAATTTAGCCTGTCCCGGCCGGCGGGCCCGGGCTGCGGGACTGCACGTCCAGACCCTCCTGGGGAGAGGTCCCGGAAGATGCTTCGAGGGAGTCTTCCCAGCCCTTGGATGAGGGCCTAGGCTCTCGCCCAGGGCAGCTCGAGGGTACCCGACAGGGGGCTGTGAATGTCGCTGTTATTGTTATTAATGGCTATAGCGACCACTTGAGAACCTAAAACGTTGGCACTGTAACTAGGCATTTCACCCCATAGCGTTAGAGAGGATTCCATGGAGCAGGGCAGAAAGCAGACTAAAGACTGGGTAGGGGAATGAATCCACCTTGACCCCGTGGGAACACCAGGTTCAAGGAGAAGCAGCTGCCACCGGCCTTTGGCAATCAAATTTTATTTGTTTTTAAAAAAGTATTTATTTGAGAGAGAGAACGCGAGCATGAGCGGGGGCGGGGGACGGGGGAGGGACAGAGAGGAAGAGGGAGAAGCAGACTCCCCCGCTGAGAGAGGAGCCAGTTGCAGGGTTCCATCCCAGGACCCTGAGATCATGACTTGAGCTGAAGTCAGACGCTTAACCAACTGAGCCACCTGGGCGCCGCAGCAATCAAATTTTAGTTGCCCAGCCTAATTCCTAATGAATTCTTCTGGGACTTGTTTAAATTGGTGCCCAACTGTGTTCCAAGGAAGTCCCAGCCCCCCCCTCACTCCCCCTGGGACCCAGGGATCTGAGTATTGATCAAGGTTAAGGAGGAAATAAAAACAAACCTGATCAAAATACAGCCAGTGAAGAACAACTAGTCCCTGAAGCTGCTGTACATCCAGCACCCATCCACTGCCTGGATTTCGTGCGTTGGATCATAAGGCCCTGGAGGCAGCATGAGGCCAGTTATTACCTCCTATTCTCCAGGGCACACCTGGGAATCAATGGAACAGCCTTCTGGAGGACAGAGATTAGCACTGGGGGTTAAGAGGAGGGAAGGTGGTTGGGAACCCCAAAGGCCCACCCAAGGCTCCTTCTCAAGAAGAGTCCAAGTATCCAGAGGGCGCCTGGGTGGCTCAGTTGGTTAAGCGACTGCCTTCAGCTCAGGTCATGATCCTGGAGTCCCGGGATCGAGTCCCGCATCGGGCTCCCCGCTCAGCAGGGAGTCTGCTTCTCCCTCTGACCCTCTCCCCTCTCATGCTCTCTCTATCTCATTCTCTCTCTCAAATAAAAAAAAATAAAATCTTAAAAAAAAAAAAAAAAAAGAAGAGTCCAAGTATCCAGTGGCTTGTACAGGAACAGAATCAGAAACTTACAGGTGCTCCAGAAATAATTCATGACACGGAGGGCCATAAGGGTAGATGAATCTCCCTTTTACCTAAAGATTCCGGGCACATGATTAGGAGGGAAAGACCTGAGTGGTTCAGTGGCTCTTTAATAACAATAGGTCACAGTTATTGTGTGCCAGACACTGGTCTAAGGACTTTACACATACTAAGTTCATTCTGATAACAGCCTTCTGTGATAGCTACTCTTAGTATCCCTATTTTATAGGTGAGGAAACGAAGGCACATAGAGATTAGTTTACCCATCACTCAACTGGTAGTTGGTGGAACTGCGACTTTTATCCAGTGGTCCGGCATCTGGGTCCATGCTATTCAGCACCATGCATTTTTGTTTCCTCTTGAAGAATAGTGCCACCTTATCTCATAAATGCTGATACTGAGGGTTAGTTTTTGTGGTACAAAGGAAAGGACGCTTGGACTAATTAGAAAACTGGAGTTCTGGCCCTGACTCAATCACCCCAGTTTTGCAGTTCTCTGAGCTGTACAATGAAGAGGGCTCGGTCAGGTTCTTTCCAACTCTGCACCACCTGTTGGCAGACAAGGGATTTGACACGCCACCTCCTACCTTGAAATGACCTTTTCTTTCCCCTTTCCTTTCCTCCTCTTTAAAGAGGACTGCATTCTAGAGGCAAGAGTCTGAGACTAGGAAGTAGGAATCCTTTAATCCATCCTGCCTTCAGTTCTATCATCTGAAAAGAGGGTGCTTTCCAGGTATAGAAGCAGGGACTCACAGGTATCACTTGGACCAGGCATGCCTCTCAGGTCTGCCCTCTGGGCTTTCTTCTGGCTGCCAAAGCTTGGCAGAGAGTGGGCAGGCAGAGCCAAGGCATAAAGAACTAATCAGGGGAAGAAGCCACTTGGGCTAGGGTGCTTTCCTGTGTGGTTAACCATTTGAACTCTTAGCTGGGCTCTGAACTACAATCTGTAGAAGACAGGCATGGATTACGTCTTTCATAAAGTCATTTTCTGGAAGAAGTGGCCTGGCAACTTAGACATGATTTGCTTTGGCTATAAAGACTGAGCTTATCTAGACAGGTCAGTGACTCCGGGCACCCCTAGAAAACTTTGGGAAATGACCTTGCCTTCACCATCATGCACTCTGGCACTCCAGCCAGACCAGTGATGTGCTCCTCCTACTTGATTTGGACAATTCAGAATGCAGCGGGCCGACTTAATTTTAGTTCAAGGCAGTATTTTCTCTAGACACGTCAGTACGTTGTTTTGTCAGCGCTTTGGAAACTGAGCTTTCCCTAGATAATAGTGATGCCTTGTATGTGTGATGAATGGTGACACTACACAGCTCATGATGGGTCTATGGAGGAGTGGGAGAAGTGGAGAACTGCTCCCCCCCACGCCCAGCCTGTTTTGGAGAATGGCCTGTCAGCCCCATCTCCCTTATTCAACCATTATCCAGTGCTTCTCTCCTAATGGCAGGAGATGGTTAAAAGCTTTTACTTCTTTAGAAAGTCATGCCCCATTTTCAGAAATCACTCAGTGAGCTGAGGAGGCTTGTGCTGAAAGTTTGTGAGCTCTATCTCACTAATGTCCAGAGATCAGCGGCCCAAGAAATCTAGCCCCTGCTGGGGCAGGTCACAGCAGCTGTGTCCCAGAGCAGTCTGGACTGCACGCGGCAGAGGGATTTTGGTCCCTTCGCTTATTCATTCTCCTAACATTCAGGTGGTGGCTTTGGCAAGAACTTCTTTGACCAGGCAAGTTCCCAGCTGGGTCACTTGATTGGAGCCACAAAGTCTGAAATAATCTTTGGTGATTCTATCCAGTCTTTATTTTGTGGGAGGTAGAAAGTTGTATTTTTTTCCCCAGAGCTCAGCTAACTCTTAAGGACGTGCCTGATGGAGATCAAGGAGAATTGCTCCATGTGCCCTACTGCTCACCAGTGTTCTCTTCCAATCGCTCCACTTCTCTAGCACCACCTCCCCCCTTTTTTTGCATTTGATGAAATACGCGTATCATCTTCAAAATAAAAATTTATTTAATCTGTAACAAGAACATTGAATCTGCACATTTGCGCACAAGTTCACATTTAAAAACAGCAGAGCACATCAGTAATAAAAAAAATCTATGATACAAGTGGAACATCCCAACCACCAGGAAGATTAAGGAAGGAGATGAGACCACTCTTTATATTCTGCTTCAAATGCCTCAAAAAGGTCCCAGAGATTCCAGGGAGCACCTGCTTTATTTATTAAAATGTGAGCATAAAAGTTCGGACTGGCCTGGGGCAAAGGTAACAGTCAGTGGGAGAGTCTTTTGGGCTTGTTTTCTACATTTAGAACAAGTCCTACAAAATAAAGTAGAAAGAAAAGGAAAAAAAAAAAGGCACCTTAAGCTATGCCAGGCAAACCAAAACCCAAACAAAACAAAACAAAACCCACAAAAACCAAACAATTCGCTGTGGGCCTGTTGACTGAGAATCATTTCAGGGCCAGTTCCCGTTTCCAGATTGGGTCATCAGCTTGAATGAAGCCCTGGGTTTAGCTCTGCGGGTGTACAGATGACGCTGCCACCAGGGTCGCTGTGAGGACCCAGATGGCAGCACTGGTCATATACCCTCTGAGGCATCTTCCAGCCAATGCGGGATGATTCCAGTTTAGAAATCCTGTCCTAGATCTCTGGGGCACTGAGAAAATGAGGCTGGTTTTGTTTTCATAGCAGGAGCCAGGCCCAGTCACCCTCCACTTCCAGGCTGGACAAGTACACAAGCACCTTGCAATAGCTCTCCACGGCATCAAGGGACCCCAAAGCCCTGGGACAGGGGTTAGGAGTGTGCAGTTTCCTGCTTTGGTGGCAGGCTTTTTCCTAATATGGGTGTCAGATGAGTTGAGGCAGCAAATACATTTATGCCTAATACATGCCTTGATCTTTTAGTCTGGAAGGGAAAACAAAGTCCAAGATACCTTTCAAGTTGGATTGGTGCTGAAAGAGCTAAAATTTCATCTACCATCAAAAAGCAAAACAAACTTTAGACAAAAATGACACTAGCCATTCACCGTTATAACCATCACTGTAAGACACACCATCACTGACTGAGGAAAGGGCTATTTCCACACAGAGTGTTGAACGGGAGTGCAGGACACAGATGGAAGTCAGGTCCAGGTCCTCCCCAGCTCCCTTTGAGTAAGGGCTGACCACCACAGCCTTGCTCTGCGTGAGGACTCCAAAGGACAGCCAGGGCTGGGTGCCTGGAGGAGGGGACCGAGTGGCTGTCAAGAGGATGCATGTTTTAATTATTACAATGTAAACAAAGTATCCACAAATAGTTGTCAAAAAGAGCCAAAGAATGGCTTTATTTAAAAATTTAAAATGCCCTTAAAAGTGACCCTCTTTGCATAATGCTTTCTTTCTTAAAAGAAAAAAAACTCCCATAGAAACATCTCTACCAAACATGCCTAGATCACTTTAAAACTGAAATCCTCAGATGGAACAGGTGAAGATTTTTATGAGCTGCTATGTCTGAGAAACTTCAGGTCTATCCAGAAGTATCTATCTGGGGCCCTTGAGCCAGAGGGGACCTCAGAGCCTGGGCTGTCATTCTCAGGTTGTCCTTGGAGCTCTTGGTAGTTTCCCAAATGAGAAAGAGTTGGGATAAAGGTACAGAACGAGGAAAATGCTAGATAAAGAGCCTGGAGAAACTGGGGTGCTAAGAATGATCCCAAACATTAAGACTCTGAAAGGCAACCAAAATGAGGAGAGATGAAGATTACTATAGTACAGTACTATAGGTCTACTCTAGTATATACTACTCCTAAGTGTTTCTAAAATCAGGAAATGGTTGAAGTTTCTCTCCTTCCTACTGACTGGTAACCCTCCAGATTACAGCTCAAAAGTTGCATGCTCCTGGGGCTTCTACCCCATGCACCAAAATGTTACTTTTTAAAATATTTTTGCACACACACACACACACACACACGCACGCACGCGCGCTCTTTCTTTCTCTCTCTCCTCCAGAGTAACTGACAGTCAGACTATGGGGGTTTTCAAAATAAGGATAAAGAGAGGCACTGAACAAGAGGTCAACTTTTCCTACTCATTTCTGTCAACCTACCAGACCTGCTGTTCTGGGTCTGAGTTTTCCATGAACAGAAAAGGGAAATAGGCCACCTGAGATTATCAAAAAGTCTGAGGACAAGAAAGTCTGAGAAGTCCTTGATGGCTCATCACGTACTTCCCCTGGACATCGCTCAGCTATGCAAATAACACAAGAACACTCAGTTGTGGGGGTTTGAGAGGCTGGCAAAACCCCATGGCATGGTTGAATTACAAACCCCAAACGGAGGATGTTTATTGAGGCAGGTAAATTACATGATAACCAAGAATGTCATTTAAAAAAAGGAAGACAGAGCAAGAATATTTCCTTTTTCTTTAAAGAAAAGTTTTCTTCACAGCATTAGAGGATCTCCTCCCCACCTCTGTTGCTACTTAATGCAGGGAGAGTGAGCAGTAACCACAGTTGCAGGGGAGCAGAGAGAACAGTGCAATACTGTTGATCCTGCTTGTACTTCTTAATGTGAGGGATGTCACCATCTCAAAGGATTAATGAGGGGACACCACTCTCTTCACCTCCGTGCAAATCCTTCTCTTCCTGCCCCTGCCCCAACTTCCTGTCCTTTCCCTATCATATTGGTGGTGGCGGAACTGCCTCAACAGGGCTGTTTAGATGGATGAGCCCTGGAAATTCATAACCCTGTCTTGCAAGCCTCCTCACACTGGTACACACCACCTAACAGAAACACTTTACAACACATTAAACATCCAGGAACCACAAAGCCGTGTGGAGGATACATTTGAACATTTAAGGAAACTATTTAAGGACTACACAGGTACATATAATTACTATATCATAAAGACACTTAGAGCAGGAGGTTTCTGTCCAATCCACCTCCTGCACAGCAACTGGATTCACAGCTCCCCTGGAGCACCTATGAATGGCTTCAGTCCACCTTTTCTCTCTCCTGGAGGTCACCCCACTATCTGCCCCCACCAAACTCTGGCCTCTGACATCCCTCTGACAGTCTGGGCATCTGTCTTTTCCTCTCAGTGCTGTCCGTGATGAGCCAAAAACCAAAGCCCAAGTCTGTACTTGGTCAATCTCTCAGCAACGTGGACATCAACCAAAGCAAACAGGAAGCAAATGTGCAAACCTCCTCAGTTTTGATGAGCTGCAGAAGGTATCTCATTCCAGGCTAAACGTTTTCTGTGAGAAGCCCAAATAGGCTTTTTATGGCAAGCGCTCCCGTGTTAAGGATCTCCATAATAGCAGCAAAGCCAAAGCATCCTAAATGGAGTCACAGTGGGTGCCTGCCCTTGGCGGGGGCCTTCCTACTGATGAACGCTTCGGCCCAATCCATGAGAAGCTTCCCCCCGGGGGCAGCAGTCACACTCACATATACTCCCTGGCTGTGGTTCAGCTCCTGGCAAACAATCCGCTCTGGGATTTCAGTCTCAAAGAGAAATCGGCTTTCAGTCAAACTGTGATCTAATGGGAGCCTTTAGGGGTTTCTCTGAGGAAGAAGTTACTAACACATACTTTGGCAGGGGCTGGCGATCAGAAGTCTCCATTTAAACAATTAAAACCACCATCAATATACTCTGCAGATTCCTACCAGCACCTATCAGTTTTATTTCTGTGGTGTCTGTGTTTTCTCCAGTTGCAGCTTTACTCCTTCTTAAAAAGATTAAATCAAAAAGATCCTACGACGACATCAACAAAACACTGTAAGAAAGTGACATTATGTACATAAATACTGTGTATAAACTCGAGAAATGACAAATCTTCCAGGAAAAGAAAAAAAAAAATCCCATGTCAAGTGTTAACATTGATAAGAAAACTTTGCATTCAACGGAGGTTATACGTAAGTAATGTAACAATTCAAATATCATCTATGAAATTTAAAAAAAGGGCAGCACTGGGAGCAACAGCATGAGGGAGGAAAGTAAATAGGAAAAAAATACGGCCATTAAACTCAGAAGGCCCACAGAATTATTCAAGTAATGGAAGTGTTAAAACCCTACGTACGTATTCATTTTACAAGAACACACTGACTTTCAATTGCTGTTTTTCAAACTTGTCCCTATTGTTTTAGTTGAAAGGATGTTGCAGAACCCACTTCCTGGCAGGGAGGGCCAGGATGACCGGCTATGTGGAGCCCACTGACCCGGAAGATACTGGGCCACAGCCTCTGCAGACTTTGCCTCCTCCTCCTCATATGCTTTCCTCTACACAGATCTCTTAGATTTCATTTGGGGTTTGGTTTTAATTTAAAAATTATGTGCTTGTGGGGGGGAAACTATCTGCTTGGTAAGTTTACAAAGCCAGCCAGTATCATGCCTTTCGATAATGACAGACTCAGGACTCAGGAATCCAGAAGAATTGGCTTCTGGAAGACCCCCCTTTGAAAGCAAAGCAGAACCTGCCCACTTTGGGAACTCTCAGTGGGCCAGGGCCCAAGGCTGAGAGCACGCAGACTTGCGGCTGTCCTTCAGCCCCATCCCATGCATCAGGTCTGAAGCCCAAACCATCACCACACAGGCCCAGGGGGGCATTTCCGATTTCCAGCCTTTTTCTCAAAGGGCAAATGAGGAGCAGGTGGGAGCTGATTGAAAAACAGCAATTTGCCTTTGATAAAGGTGCTCTTTGAAAATGAGTATTTTTTGAGGTTTGAATTTTCTAAAAATAAAAAATGCTAAAATGGTCTTGCTGTCCAAATCAATCTCTCTCTCTCACACACACATACACAGAGAAAAAAAAACCCCAAACCCTGCATGCGCCAGGAACAGTAAAATGACCAAAATATTATAAAATTAACCAATAAAGTGCATGTTCCTTACATATTACACCTGCCCCTTTTACAAACATTTCTTTCAGAAAGTCACATGTGTAGGCTCAGAATCACATGGTATTATAGAAGGGGTTGGTTGTCCGTTTTTTATCATTTGCTTTTTTCAGTCTCCTAAGGGGGTGAGTTCTGCCGTGCTGCTGACGGGGCGTCACAGCCAGCCCTGGAGCTGGGCCTGCACACTGCAGCCCCTGGGGTTGTGGCAAAGGAAGGCCTCCTTCAGAATTAGTCAATTCGGGTCCTGCCCTGGGGAGCAAACACTGCTGACTGTAACCAAATTCTTTGGCATACTGTACGATGGGCTTCTCCACTGGCTTGCTCTGCACGATACACTCTGTTGTTTTGAGTTGCTCTATAAAATACTTGGTGGGCTCTAGGTTCTGGGGGGCATCTGGGTTTTCTGAGGGCTCCTGGGCCTCCATGGCATGCATGCCTGAGTCTGTTCTGATGAAGGGCTGAAGCAGTTTGAGATGAGGGGTATCAGAGGAGACAGGCTCTCTCTCCGATAAACAGTCTTTACAGAGGTCCAAGTAACCTAACTTGGCGAGCGCAGCAGAATGCCTCATTTGGGATGGTCTGGTGAGCCCTCCCTGGCAAATCGCTCGGGACTCGATTTCTTTAGTGCGCTCCTTCACCACGCTGGGGCTATGGCTGAGACCCTTTATACTGTCACTACTAGAGCTATGTGGGAGGTGACAGGCTACAGGTAATGGGTCCAGTTTTTCTTGTAACTCCCCAATATTGTCACTGAGTTGGCTTAGGTCTTCACTAGTTAACTGGGGGTCCTTGGACGGTACTTCACTGCCACTGGAAAAGGGGCCCTCCTGACTTTCTTCCCAGCTCCCCCGCTCTGAAGAGGGCTCGTTGTCTGTGGTGCTGCTTTGCTCTGTGAAGCCTTCCAGGTGAACTACAGTCTGCGGATGTGCTGAATCCAAGCTGGCAGATGGGATGTGGGTTGGGTGACTGACAAAAGGCCCTCCTGTCTCCGGGGCTGTCAAGAGGCTGTCGTCCCAGGCTTCAGGGCTGCTCAGGGTGGAGGTCAGGTCGGTGGGACTGTCGTGCTCAGGAGGGGAAGAATGAGGCAGAGGTAGCACGTTGGGGTGAGCCTGGGCGGGGCCCAGAGTCCTGTTCAGATTTTCATCCAGTGCACAGAGGATGGTGATGGAGTCCTCCACTTTCACTTTCCTCAGTCCTTGCTCCCCACTCTTTTTGCTGGTGGCTCTTCCACTCCCTGGCCCAGGGTGATCGGGGGATGTAACTGTGTGGGTATACTCAATGATTTCCACCTTTTTGGGAAGGGAAAGAGGGACTGCCTGTGTCTCAGATCCCTGGCATGAAACCACAGTCCTCTGCTCCTTCAGGACTCCTCCCTGCTTTGTACTAGTATCTGACCCTGGGTGCTCCTGAAACTCCAGCAGCTCAGGTGCTGGAACAATGGCATCTTGCTCAGAATGGGGTAGGGAGCCAGCTTTGGACCCACTGCACTTCCCTTTGCCCTTGCTAATCTCTGGTTCCTTAGGGACAAAAGAATGTTCAAGGGTAGCTTCATCACTCTTTCCTTTTGGTGCTAGGTCTGCCACAGCAGAATCATTCTTGGAATTTTTGCGAATGGACAATGAGGTACAACCAGGGGCAGCACCATGGTGCTCTTGCTCCTGTCGCAAGCGCTCTTCAAACTCCAAGGTAGCTCGCCTCACAGACCCAGGGTACCACTTGGCACCTGGATGCATTCCTGGGCCCCAGAGCTCTTGTTCCTCCTCAGCTGGTTCCTCTTCTTCCAACTCTGTGGTGGATGAGTGTATAGTTAAGCAGCCTTCTAGGTCCCACTTCCCTGAGTCTTTGGCTAGTTCAGGCTGGGCTGTGAAGGAACCCTCCTTCTGCTCCAGATTTCCAGGTTTGTTCTCCAGGGCCTGAGCCCTCTCAAGGGGCAGCTCATGGATGGTGTGCTTCTTTGGTGTATGACATGGGTTAGATAAGATGTCTCCTTTCAGTTGAATCTGTCCGACTCCTTGACTGATGGATTCAATCTCAGTAATGATTTCTTTGACTGAAACTGCATTTTCTGAGTGAGATTGCATGAAGATGTCTGGGCTGACCAGTTCTGAGATTGCCTAGGGAGAAAACAGTGAGATGGTTATGGCAAATCATAGTCTAATTAAAAATGCCAGATGTTTTGCTTAGTAATCCTCTAATCCAGGAGAACCTTCCAGCTATGAGGACACAAATCATGGAGTGCCTGGGACTGTCCTCTGCCTGGGGCTGTCCTCTGGCCAACTGTTTTGTCATACAAGCTAAAAAAAAACAAAACAGATTCATCAAAGGAAGAGATACAAAATTTGTTACAGCTTGTATCACTGTCTACTAAACTTTTATTCTGTTTATTTAAACAGAATTCCAACCCAGTATCTTGCTTCAAAAATGAATAGCGGTTAGCCTTAGAGGTTCCTATAATCCTTACTTTTTTTTTTTTTTTTGAAGAATTTGAGAGAGAGAGAGAGAGAGCAAGCACAGGAGAAGGGGGAGGGGGAAGGGCAGAGGGAGAAGCAGACTTCTCGCTGAGCAAGGAGCCTGATGCGGGGCTCGATTCCAGGACCCTGGGATCATGACCTGAGCCGAAGGCAGACGCCCAACCGACTGAGCCACCCAGGTGCCCCAATCCTTACTTTCCTAAGACCATTAGCCTTCAGGATTTAGGTCATACTGGGGTAGATGAGATTTTTCATCTCTGGCCTATCAACTTTCAGTTTGATTCTAACCTAGTTCAATGGGAAGAGTTCCATTCAAGGGCTCAGTGACCACCTTAAATATGCCCAGTGTTAGGGCAAGATGAATGAGGTTATCATCTGATGTCTGATTTGGAGACTCACTGCTCTCTTCTCTCCTCTGTCCTGCCAGCTTTCATCCTTACCCTTCCACTCTTGGCATCTCTTGGCAGTAGCATTCCAGCATGTGACGGCACTCTGTACCTGGTCACACAAATTCCAAGTTTTGCATGGCTCCTCTGGGAAAGGTTTACTTGGCTTATGGAGCCACATGCCTAAGCAAACTTAGAAACTGTGACTCTCTGATATATTACTGTTCTACCAGTTATAAATTTGGATGGATTTAGATCGAGGCAAAAGAAAATTAGCCAATATAAAATCAAGTCCTATTGTTAAAAAAAAATGAATTCCAAAAGCTGAAAATGACTGTTGGACATCTCTGAAAGTGGCTTCGTAACAACCATCAATCTGCTTTAATATTTTATTTATTTATTTATTTATATTTTATTTATTTTGAGAGAGAGAACATGAGCAGAGGGGAGGGGCAGAGGGAGAGAGAGAGGGAGCCCGATGTGGGGCTGGATCCCAGGACCATGAGATCATGACCTGAGCCTAAGGCAGATACTTAACCGACTAAGCCATCCAGGTGCCCCTACTTTAACATTTTTATAAGCCTTCAAAGTATAATATTTCCCTAGGAATTGTTCTGATCTTTCTCCTTCAAAACAAAGTCAGAACTAGTACAAACCAACAAGGTCAGTTACACCTTTGGGAGAAATCTGCTGGGATATTAGGCACAGGTAAACTAGCCAAGACTGGGAGAGAAGCCACAGCAGGCCCAGTGTGTGCATAGGCTGTGGAGAGAGTGCTCATATGACGAGGGACTTTGCAGAAAAGCTATTTCTGTCAGAGCTGCTATGCCTACTGGTCCAAAGGAGAGCTCAAGCATTCTCATTTCCCAGTAAAAATGAAGCAGAGGCATAACCTCTGAGGAGAGAAGACAGAAGCAGAGGCAATGACTTCCCTGGGGTAAAGAGACAGAAAAGATAAGTCATGGACAAGGTGATAAATATAAGTAGACAGCTATCAGGAGATGTCAAAAATGTAGTTACCTCCACTGAAATCATTAAGTGAATTTTGGTATTTGAGAGTAAATCTGTCACCATTTACTTCACAACTACTTTATTATACTGATCTAAGTAAGATACCATTTTTAAGATGCATCCCAATTTCAGAGAAGTGTCAAAATGAGAATAAGAGTGAGTCTTAGAATTGATACACAGTAGTTCTTTCCCTGGTCTGAAATGGCTCCTATGAGCTCATATGCCACAGAGAAGAATCTTCAGAGTCTGTCTGTTCTCAATCATTTCCCAAAACTATCCCTCAAATCTTGGATACCACAGGGTCTGAGATGAGGACCAATCAAGAAACATTATTAATAGCAAGAACTCAGCATGCGTTGCTACTCTAACAACTATTTACACATGTCTAGTCTTTGAATTTTCTGAGACAGTGTTTCCCAAACAAATCCATCTCCTCAGAGAGACACAGGTCTTACTCAGGCAGCATGTCAGTTCCAGGCACTTCATTATTGGTGAGATCTGATTTGAACTGCAGAGGTCCAGGGAGGGGACCTCTCCTTGTCCAGGCAGGACATTTGTTTTAGCTACCCCCCACCCCCATCCCTCTCCAAAGTGCTTCCAAAGACACCAAAAGCTTGGAAAGATAAATTCCTCAAAAGGCAATGGATTTAAAAATTTTTTAAACCTTAAGTTTTCAAGGAAAGTCTCAGCCACACTGTCTCTCCCATAATGCCTTCCTAAATCTTTAGCAACATTAAAAATAAAACAAACACAGCAGAATCCCAAATATTTTGTCTTCCAAAAGAACTTCATTAGGTAGAGAACTACTTACTATAAAGATACTTTTTACCTTTGACTGTTCCTCATCTATTGAAGATTCTTCAGATGCATGGGGAGTATTACTCAAAGAGCTGCTTCTCTGGTCATCAGCGGTCCCTTCGGAAGGGGCTACTTCTACCACTGAGAGTCGACAGCTCTCACTCCTTCCTCCACCCAGTTCTTCCATCCTTGAGTGGGAAAAAGATCGGGACCGGGTTTCTTGGGAAAGCTCTACAAACTTTTCTAGGGCGCTAAAAAAATCAATGCGATCTGTACTGAAATCTGAGACTTCAGCCTGACAACTAGGTTGGGGGCTCGGTGATTCAGGATCAGGGGACATAGGAATGTCTTTCAGGCGAGATGTTAATTCTTCCAAAGGCAGTAAGTGGACGTTCACATCTGCTTTCAGAGCATCTGTCTCCAAATCTTCCACTGTTAGGTCTGGGAACTTGTTGGCAATTTCTGGGGCCTGTCCAGGTTGGATTAAGGCTTTGGATGCATGGCAGTTGTCAAGAGGGAATTTTGATTCATTGAGACAACACCCTGATGAGCATCCATTGATGTCATTTAGATTTAATTCATCTTCAATCTGTCCTGCATGAAATTCCCTTGAAGTAAACTCCAAGCAAATCATTCTTTCTTTGGTACACAGGCCCTTCTGATTTTCATCTTGTGGGACGACATGTTCCACAAAGACAGGAGGTATGGGTGGGTGATTCTCCATGGTCTTCACCTCGGCAATCTGGTCTGCTGAGGTGGTGATCTCCTTCTTGTTGAGTTCTAGCCCTGGTTTGCAGATGGGTTCATGGTGGTCTGAGAGGTCGCTATCTGAGTGAGATCTCCAGAGCTTGTTATGCCGCTGTTTGCTGTGGAGGACATACACAGGAAATGCCTTACTCTGGTTTGTGAAATCAATCAACACCCTCCCAAGAAACTGCTCCCAGATAAATTTAAATCTTAACCTGCAAATGCTTTGTTGATAGCCAATGGAAGAGGTAGGCAATAAACATTTGTAAAGATGCTCAATTTAGGGGCACCTGGGTGGCTTAGTCTTTAAGCGTCTGCCTTCAGCTCAGGTCATGATCCCAGGGTCCTGGGATGGAGCCCCGCATCAGGCTCCCTGCTCCGTGGGAAGTCTGCTTCTCCCTCTCCCACTTCCCCTGCTTGTGTTCCCTCTCTCGCTGTGTCTCTCTCTGTCAAGTAAATAAATAAAATCTTTTTAAAAAAAGACAGAGAGAATGAGAGACAGAGAGCATGAGAGGGAGGAGGGTCAGAGGGAGAAGCAGACTCCCTGCCGAGCAGGGAGCCCGATGCGGGACTCGATCCCGGGACTCCAGGATCATGACCTGAGCCGAAGGCAGTCGCTTAACCAACTGAGCCACCCAGGTGCCCCTAAATAAATAAAATCTTAAAAAAAAAAAATGCTCAATTTAATAGCAGAAAACAAAAACAAAGCAAAACAATAATAAAAACGAATATGAGATCTGATTTTTCTACCCATCAGACTGACAAGGCTTAAAATGGTTGCTAGCAGCTAGTGTTGATGATGGCATGGCTAAACAAATCCTCTCATGTATAGTTGGTAGGAATGTGAATTGTAGAAATTCTTTTTTTTTTTTAAAGATTTTATTCATTTATTTGAGAGAGAGAGAGTGAGAGATAGAGCACGGGCAGGGGAGAGAGGGAGAAGCAGGCTCCCCACTGAGCAGGGAGCCTGATGTGGGGCTCGATCCCAGGATCCTGGGATCATGACCTGAGCCGAAGGCAGACGCTTAACCGACTGAGCCATTCAGGCGCCCCTGAACTGTAGAAATTCTGAGTGAAATCTGACAACAGCTCTCAAAATTTAACCCTTAAACCAGCAATTCTTCTAGAGAAATACTACTATAAGTACACAAAGATATAGATATACGGATGTTTATTATATAATACAGTGGTACTAAGGGATCAGACACCAAAAAAAAAAAAAAAGAGGATTTATTTAAATTACAGTCCATATACCTACATGCCATTCATGAAGCTATTAAAAACAGGTGTTTTAATGGAATGCTGTCCAAGGTATACAATTAAGTGAAAAAGCATGCTGACCACATTTGGAATGGTCAGTTCCCGTGTTAGAATAAGTATAGGAAAATACCTGGAGGAACATCATCAAACTGGTAACAGGGTTCCTTTCAAGAAAGGCAGAATACTTTCAGGGAGGGCTTTACTTCTAACATTCTATATTTCTATACGTTTTAAAATTTAAAAATAATGAGCATGTTTAACATTAATAATGGGGGGGGGAGGGGACTAAAACGAAACAGCATCTAGGCAGTACAAAGAGAAATACTCTACTGGAGCCCATTACAAGTTCTTATAATTGGGATAAAGAGCTGATACAGGATTAATTATGAAGTAGTAATGTGAGGAGGGTGGTAATCTTTCTTGAATTAGAAAGCAAAGATGAGGCTAGTAAATCCACAGAAAAAGGTTTATATGCATAAAGTATAGGCTTCTTCCATAATGATCTTTTGGTAAAACCCATCAAGCTAAGGGGACACCTGGAAAAGCAGGTGGCCTAAAGAAGATCACACACATATATCCATCCTTTGGCTTATTTTATGGAGGGAAGTTCTTTTTTTTAAATTTTATTTATTTGAGAGAGAGAGAGAGAGAGAGAGAGAGAGAGAGAGTGAGAGAGAGAGAGAGAGAGAGAGAAAGAGAGCACACGAGCAGAGGCAAAGGGAGAGGGAGAATCAGATTCCCCCGCTGAGCAGGGAGCCCCATGCGGGGCTTGATCCCAGGACCCTGAGATCGTGACCTGAGCTGAAGGCAGACACTTAACCAACTGAGCCACCCAGGCGCCCCTGTAGAGAAGTTCTGATAGGATGAGATTTCATTTCAAACCATACTAACAAGGGAGCACAGTTCCCAAAGCCCTAGCCAAAAAGAAAAAGGTGGCCCTGTGGCTAGTCAGGATCACCTGCCCAGGAAACAGGTCCCTAGATATGGCATTTAGGGGTGTGGTTTCCACAACTTACAAGTTGGTGAAGAGTTACCTAACTGCAGAGTGTAATGGGAAATAGCCCAAAACAATTTGCCGCAGGCTCAGGGCCACGCCTGCCTGTGAATCTCTGCCGAGTCATGCGCCTGCACTAATGTGAACCCCTGTTTGTTCTCAACTCTGCACCTGCTCTCAGCTCCCCCTGTCTGTCTGCTGCTTGGGTGGGGCTCTCTCTGACTCAGGCCTGAACAGCAGAAGGGTGCTTTTCCGGGTAGGGAACAGGTCATTCTGTTTATGAAGACAGGCTATAATCAATAGCAGGGAGGAAGGTAGGATTTTCACCTTTTCCAAGCTGCATGAACTCCAGCCACCCCTAGGAGGAGACAACATATCACACATCCCAAACAAGTGAGTGACTGGGGGGAGGGGCAAACTGAATGGTTGGATAGGTGGGGCCTGATCACACAGTGATCAACCCAGGCCATGTGCTGCCCTTTAAAGTTTCTTTTATATCTAGATACTCTTGTTTCCTGACCTACATATGGCTGCGTTCTCCAATTTCTAACCCTCACCTATCATGAGGATGTTCAAACCTGCACCAACTCCTCTCAGCCACCATGGCAGGACAATTCCTGTGATGCAAATGATTGGGAAGACATCTCGGAGTAGCTGTTCTCACCTTTCTAATAATATAAAGAACAGCTTATCTTACCAGTCAACAGGCAAATGGGATTTTTCATGATCCTAAGAATCTTCCAAAGGATGATTTTTTTTTTTTTGAAAGTTTTTATTTATTTATTTAACAGAGAGAGACAGCGAGAGAGGGAACACAAGCAGGGGGAGTGGGAGAGGGAGAAGCAGGCTTCCCGCGGAGCAGGGAGTCCGATGCGGGGCTCGATCCCAGGACCCTGGGATCATGACCTGAGCTGAAGGCAGACGCTTAACGACTGAGCCACCCAGGCGCCCCCAAAGGATGATTTTTTTTAAAAAGTGCCTGCTAATCACTAATCAATCAGGAGGGAATGAGACTGAAATTATGCTAATAGGTACCAACGGTGTATGTTTCAGAAGAAGGGGCTGACATTACAGCTGCCTTGCCCAGCAGGGATTTCCTTCTCTTTCTGGGGTAGATAATCATCAGAAAATATTAGGCCAGAGCTCTGGAATTAAACTGATGACTACTTGTAAAGGAGAAAGACAAATCTCAATCCAAAGATAGGTCTGATCCTGCTACCTTTCTCACTTTTGCAGTAGGGCCTGCAGGGATGGTGGTAGGCAGTGCTTTGACAGAATCAAGAGACTCATTACCGTGGCCTTCAAAGCACTGCTACTCCAGGTGCCCCTTCCTGCTCCTCCCTTCCTCCTCCCACCTCAGAGGTTTTATAGTAAACTCCATCCTGAATTTTGTGCTTATCATCCTCTTTCTTTATAATGTCATCATGTTTTGTTCTTAATATACTGCTTAGTTTTGCATGTTGTGAACTTACATAAGTTCACAACATGCAAATGTTGTGAAATCATACTCTGTATATATTCTTCTACAACTGCCTTTTGCGTACACTGTTTTTAAGATTCATCAATGTGTGCAGCTGTAATTTCAGGGAGTATGACGAACATACCACAGTTTATTTACCCATCCTATTGATGAAGTTTTGGCTAGTATGAACAGCACTACCATGGACATTCTTGCACTTGGTGCATACTTTGGTTTCTAAAAGATGTTATATACAGGAGCAGAAAAGGTGGGTCACAGGGTATATGTTCACCGTCAGTTTTACTCAGTAACACCAAACTGTTTTCCAGTACAGCTTTTTCCCAAGTCTGTTTATTCTGATGCTCTATCACTGGTAGGGATAGATGTAAGACATTGGATCATATTTATTATTTTAAACTGTTAATGTTGAAATTCAACTGACTCCCTCCACCTATTTCAGGTAGGCATCAAGTAAACAAGTTGCCAAAAAGAACTTCAGAGTTGGTTTGTGGCCTGGATGATGCAAAGAAGTCTCAGGTTCTTTTCTCCCTTGAGTGACCTCGGACCTGAATTTGGCCTTTTACTTCATAAATGAACAAGAAGGACATCTAAATGATAGGATACACATGATATCCCATTCTCTTGCCTCCTATTTGCTTGCTTTCTTCTTGTTACATGTTTGGTAAAGCACCAATTTTGTTTGAGAAAGTTACATAGAGGAAAACACTGCTAAAAATGGAGTATCAGGTTATAGTAAAATTAGACTGTTTATGGTTACCTCTTAGGACATTAGTCAGCCTGTAGAAAGGAGAAGAAAGAAAAAGTGGGCGCCTGGGTGGCTCAGTCGGTTAAGCGACTGCCTTCGGCTCAGGTCATGATCCTGGGGTCCCGGGATCGAGTCCCGCGTCGGGCTCCCTGCTCGGCAGGGAGTCTGCTTCTCCCTCTGACCCTCCCCCCTCTCATGTGCTTGCTCTCTCTCATTCTCTCTCTCTCAAATAAATAAATAAAATCTTAAAAAAAAAAAAAAAAGAAAAAGCAACAATTGAGTATTCTCTATGTTTTGTCCATGGTTCCTAAATGCTTTAAAATTATTTCACTGAAAAGCTATTAAGGAAATCCTTTAAATCTCAACTGCGATGTGGGTTCATTCTCAGGTTCCCTCCTGCTGGCTGACCACTGTGCACCAGCTAACTAGACGTCAGTGTCTCCACCAGCAAAGCAGGGGAGTGTAACAGACACCTCTGCCTCCCCTGGCCCTGGTGACAGGGGTGTTCAAAGAATCAAAACCGACATCTATGAAGACATGTGGCACGAACTCTCCCTGGCTACCACCCAGTGTTTCTTCTCTGCTGCTTGTATACTGGAACCTAATATCACAGACACATGGTCCAGCTTGCAAATGCCTGAAATCTGAACTTGTCTAATGGAACAAAAATCTGCCAGATACCTGCATGATCAGAGTACAGAATAACAAACACGGCTGTTGGCAGTTTAATGGAGGGTTTCCACACACACACACACACACACACACACACACACACACACACACACACGCCCACCCTCTTCCTGTCTCACTCCCATCCCCCAGCTATAAAAACATAAAAAATAAAATTAGATATGGACAGTATCATTGGCTTTATGATACCCTCTCTTTTAGGTCCAAAGGATTATATTAAATATTAGCCTTCCCTCTTAAAGACATACTGAACTATGCAAAAAGTCCCTTGCATTTCAGATAGGAGGTCACTGTTTGGTCCATAGCCTCACATTCTGATTAAGAGACTGTAACCAACTCATAAACCATTTACAGAGGCCTGGTATCACCTTGGTAAACTTCTCTTCTACCAAGACATCAAAGCACCAAGCAAATACCCTCAAACAGAGGGCTGCGACCTCAAGTTAAGTACCCAGTGCCACTCTAGACAACCATGGGGGCTAAAGAATGCTAGGATCAGGGCTCTATCTTTTTGGGAAAACCACCACATGCTTCCTGACAGAAGATGTGGAATACAAGATCTAAGTACCTCCACAAGAAATGGATTTCTTTGCAGACAGAATGAGTGGAGTTTTTCTAAGGACTTTTCTTCTCCTGGTTACCTAAGCTGTAGAGCTTCAGACAGTTCCAGGAGTCTGGGGCTTCTCTGTTTTTGCTCTTCTAAGCAGGCAGACCTTGGAGTAGCACTCTAGGGCTGGGCAAGAATCTGCTGGGCCCAGTTCACTTGGCAGCTAGCTTGGCAATAGCCTATAAGTGCTGTTTCTTAAAAAAAAACACCGGAGATCACAGACCGTAATGACTGTATGCCCAGCAGGCACTCCCAGTCTTTTTCCTAACTGGCAGAGGCCTGATTTGGTTTGGGTATTCACTGTTTCATGGGAGTCCTGGCAGTCAGGAGACAGTCTGGAGGGAGGAGCTAAAGGCAGGCCACTTATTCCCCTAGCTTTCTCCCCACAGGGTCACTTCAGGCTGGCTGTGTCCCTTGACTGAAAGTTATTTCTCCTCTCTGAAGGTGCCTCTTTCTCCAGGAGTCTCCTTCCAGGTTCTAGTAACTGCTCCCTCCCTCTTTGGGCCTCGCAGCTATTACCGAACAGCTCTGCTGATGCAAGTCCCTTGATTCTACTACAATCCCACATCTTTATAAAACCCTCCGCAAATAATCCTAATACGAGTATGCTGTTTCTTGTTGAGATCCCGACTGATGGAGGTATTCTACTACTTGCAGTTGAAAGCAGCCTAAGTGATACCCCTAGCACTAGATTCTAGTTCTTAAAATCCAGGAAACATCACAGTACAGGAAATTCCAGGACAACTTCCTATTCTTGTTTCTTTTTTTAAGCTTAATGTATTTGACAGTGAGAGACACAGCGAAAGAGGGAACACAAACGGGGAATGGGAGAGGGAGAAGCAGGCTTCCCGCAGAGCAGGGAGCCCTATGCGGGACTCGATCCCAGGACCCTGGGATCATGACCTGAGCTGAAGGCAGACGTTTAATGACTGAGCCACCCAGGCGCCTCCCTATTCTAGTTTCTAATGGAGTTAGTGTGCCTGTGGGTGGTGGAAGGCAGTGGTTGGAGGAAGGAGGAAGGAATAAATGGCACATGCATGTACGTGTTTCTGGGTAGCCCTGGAGAAAGAAGATGATGAGAACCACATCAGAATAACCCTTACCAGTATACAGTGTACATTGTTTTTTAAGATATATTTTTAAAGATTTTATTTATTTGACAGAGACAGCGAGAGAGCACAAGCAGGGGGAGCAGGAGAAGGAGAGGGAGAAGCAGGCTCCCCACTGAGCAGGGAGCCCGATGCGGGGCTCGACCCCAGGACCCTGGGATCATGACCTGAGTGGAAGGCAGACGCTTAACGACTGAGCCACCCAGACGCCCCTAAGATTTTCTCTTTAAGTAATCTCTACTCTCAACGTGGGGCTTGAGCTCACAACCTGGAGGATCAAGAGGTGCATGCAGGCTCCTCTGACTGAGCCAGCCAGGTGCCCTCGTAGTGTACATTTATTTATACACATTTTTATTTACAATAACCCTGTGACATAGGGTTCTTTAAAAATTTTTTTTATTTAAACTCAACTAGTATTAGTATTATTAGTTTCAGTGTGACATAGGGCTCTTGATTTTCATATTACAGATGGGGTCAGGTGAGGATCAGAACTGTGAAGTAACTCCTCAAAGTTGCAGCAAGAGGATGAACCAGAGATGGAAACCAGATCTACTGACTCAAATTCTGTGGTTTTCTCATTCCCCAGGGCTTGCTCCTCCCTCCATGAATCAAGCCCAGGAAAGCAGGATAGAACCGAAAGGGAAAGGAAGAGGCAGTGTGATTTGTGGGTTATGCTGCCCTTCTTATCCTCATCTAAGATTTTTCTGAAGTTCCTTTAACATCTAAGAAAAACCACATCCTCTAAAAAAACCCAACCCAACAGCTTGCAGTAGCCTGAGATTCCAGAATAAATACTGAAATTGGCAGGACACATAGTATCCTTGCTCTCAATGGGTCACGTGAGGACACTGCATAGCATCAGTCATGTGTGTGTCTGGGAACATACAATATTTATGTTTCATCTAACCCTCAGATGCCTCTTTCTTGCGCCAAAAAGAACTGCTGTGTCCTACCTTCTGATCTAATCTAAAAATGTCATCAAAATCTGTCCCCCAAGACCTCCAAATTCTTTTTAAGTGGAGGAGACTTGAGTATCCTCCCTGCTTCCTAAAAGAACGGCTCAGATGAAATCATGCCAAGTACTGAGTAAACGGGAGGGTTTTTTTTTTTTTTAGTGGAAACCATAATGCTATGCTGGGCTGCATTTTCACAAGACTTCGGGGGTGGGAGGGTGGTCCCTCTGCCTGGATAGGCTGGAAGGCTATTTAACATTTTGTTCAGGGGAAACACAGCCCAGATTCAAGAGTCAAGACCAAGTCATGAGACTCACTGGAGTCAAACTCTGGCACCAGCCCCAACTGCTTCTAGGCAGCTGTGCCTTCATATGAACAAAACCACCTAGAACATGCACACATGGAAAAATTAAAGCAAGATCTAGCACTCTACAGAACTTCAGCATGTGGCATCTCAGGAAATTGACCCTTAAACCCAGTTTAATATGTGAATCTCTTTCCTTGAGAGCAGGTGAACGTGGCTTTCACCACCAATGAGGTAAAATAATAAATACTCATTTTTTTTTTTTTAAGATTTTATTTATTTGAGAGAGAGAGAATGAGAGACAGAGGGCATGAGAGGGAGGAGGGTGAGAGGGAGAAGGAGACTCCCTGCTGAGCAGGGAACCTGATGTGGTACTTGATCCTGGGACTCCAGGATCATGACCTGAGCCGAAGGCAGTCACTTAACCAACTGAGCCACCCAGGAGCCCCTTATAATTACTCACTTTATAACCAATTACCAAATTATTCCTGAAATGAGTAGTTCTTATTGATACAGGAAGATGTTCAAGATCTACTACTGGGTAGACAGAGAAAGACAAATACTGAATGGTATCACTTATATGTGTCATCTAAAAAAGCCATACTCAGAGAAATAGAGAATAAAGTGGTGGTTACTAGGGGGTAGAGAATGGGGGAAATGGGGAGGTGTTGGTCAAAGGGTATAAACTTCTAGTTACAAGATTAAAATGTTCTAGGGATCTAATGTAAGATGGAGATTATAGTCCATAATACTGTATCACATACTTCTGAATGTTGCTAAGAGAGATCCTAAATATTTTCACCAAGAAAAAAGAAACAGTATGTGAAGGAATGGAGGTGTTAGCTAATGCTGCGGTGATAATCAGTTTGCAATATATAAATGCATCAGATCAACACACTGGACATCTTAAATTTATACAATGTTATACGTCAATTCTATCTCAGTAAAGCTGGGGGGAAAAGGATGGTTAAGTGAGGGCTAACTGCAGTGTAACTGTTCAATATACATTGCTACAGTTTAAAAAAAAAAAGGAAGACCAGTTATTGGGTGAAGAGGTAGGCTGAAGAATAGCTTTTGTGAGAAAACATCCATCAGTATATGGGGTAAGAGTCAGACCTGGAGAAACATGCAAGATAATGTCGATTACTGTGGGCATTGAATTTATAAATGATTTTTCTCTCTGTGTTTTCTGCATTTCTGCAAAGCATATATACACATATATATAAAGCATATAAAGCATATATATACACATATATATATATACATATATATATACATATATATAAAAAGATTAAAAGATTTTTAAAAGAAGAGAGTTATTTCCAGGAAGTGCCTTCATACCCCAAATCTGATGTGTCATATGACCAAAATTTTGGAGAAGGCTCACTGAAACCAAGCACTGATAAAAAATGATGCTTAAAACAGCACCACGTGCTTCTTAAATTTTATTTTCTTTTACAGAACAGGCCAAAAAATTTTCTAACAACTTCATCTATGCTTAGCATTCCTTTGGGATCAGTAAGTATCCATTTTGATAAGGCAGCTGTATCTGGCCTTAGAAGATGTTGAGAAATGTTTACGATAATCAGAACCTACTTGGGAAAGTAAGAGAACAGTATGTCCAGCTTTTAGTTTAAATGTCTTTAGTTTAAACACCTGACCTTCCATACTATTCTTAAATGCTTGTACTTGTTTTTTAAAATCTAGATTGACAGACATTTCAATTTTCAAAATGTATCACACATCCAGATTAGGCTGAGAACTAGCTGCGGGGAAGGACATTTTACCTTGCCCCAGGGAGCGTAACGGAGGGAAAATCTCAGAAAGTCACTGAAGGACTCACCTTGCCAGCAAGATCCCCTGGTACTCTTCCAGTTGCCTCATGAAGCTGGGGTTGGGCTTGGTCACCGTTCGCCTCTCCTTCACGTAGTCATAGGCCCGGTCCAGATTCCAGCCGTACTCCTTCATTGCATAGGCAATCACGGTGGAGGCTGAGCGACTCACCCCCATTTTGCAGTGCACAAGGCACTTGGAGCCATGTTTCCTATGTCGGGGTTGGAGGTCAGGGGAAAAACGCAGTAGTAGTGCATTTTAAAAGCTACGTTCTACATGTTTCCAAGTCTCCGCTCGCCTTTCCATTTTCTTTCAAACCATCCCCCCGTAGTGTACTTGTATATATCTGTAGTCAAATGTGAGGGGAGGGGAGGCAATTCTAGTGTACTCAAACAATAGTCAATGTTAATATCGATCCTTTTAAATTAATTCAGCAAACATTTACCAGGCAATCACTGTTGTAAGACAATGGGCAAGGTTTCTCTGCCTCCTCCCAGTGGAGGCAAAGAAAAGTAAATCTTCCCTAAATGGTAGGGTTCAGTGGGAGAAAGAGATAATTAAAACGCAAAATGGTAATTGCAATGAGTGTGAAGGGAGAATTTTCAATTTCGAGACTGGACCCCATTTTGCGTATCTGGAGGTGCATGTTCCAAGGCTGGCACAGTCTTGAGTTACAAGTGTGACAGTGATTCATCTAATTTATCCAAATGTTCTGAGTTGCTTCCAGTTCAAGTTCCAGTAAGGGTTCTGTCCCTGGAGGAAAGTACAAACCAAATAAAACTAACCCTCCTCTTTACTCAGATGTAGTCCTACCTATCACTTTTCAAACCACCACCACCATGTTCTGTCTAGGGACTGGCTAGACAATCCGTGGAGTTGGGTGGGACCACGTGATGCACCACGAGGCTTTCTCAGTGAGGAGGGTGGAGTGAGTAACTACCTGTTGTTGTTTTAATGGGGTGGAAGAAAGAGAAAGCAAAGTTACCATGAAGTGACTGTAAGAAACAAAGCAAACCCTGTGGTCTCAAGGTGCCAGAGCTCATTGCTTTGGATATGAACGTGACTCAGTTATGCTATGCTAATTCTGCTAATGACACGGTGTCTGGCACAGAGTAAGCCTTCAAATATTTACTAAATGTATGAACAAACTTATGGATCTGCTGTTAGATCTGTCAGCTATAAGTAAAAATATTTTAAAATCTGGAAAAAAGAATGGTTACTCTTTTCACTAGAGTACATGGGCTAAAAATCCTTCCCATGTGGCTAGTCCAATAAATTAAAAAAAATGTACATCAGCCTAAGAGGGGAAATCTACTCATTCACTCACTCACTGTATTACAGTAAACAAGCTTCCTTCCAGAGGCTTATAACTCTTCTGCTGGAGATAGACACACAAGAAAGAGTTAAGTACAATGTAAGGAAGGCATGAGGTTATGTGCCAAAATGAGAGGAATGAGGTTATGTGCCAGATAAGTGATAGGAATTCAGAGAATGATCTGCAATAATCAAAACAGTCTCAAAAGGAAGGTGAGATTAACCTCCTACCCATCATTTAGATGCGAAATTCTGGAGTCCTTAGGTTAATGAAGGTGTGTGTCTCTGCGTGCTTAGATGATCCCAAATGACTAGGACATTTTTGTTTTGTTTATGGCACCATAACTTTAGACCACAGTGCACAGTGACTCAGATATAAGTTCAGACATGTGCTCTATATTTTCCCATCAAGCTCTGACATCAAATTTCAGGTCTATACCCGCAGGCATGCAAGGTGCTCACAGGTGGACAATTTTAAGAAAAATACAGTTCTGAAATCCACCCCCATAAAAGCATTTCTTCATTTTGAATGGGGCTTTTTCAGTGGATGGTTTCTAACTCACATATTGAAGGATCTGAAGTCAGTTCAGAATATCCAATTTCATCTTTCAGTTTCAGCCACACACCCCCCACCCCTCCTGCCCCTCCCCGTGCTGGGTTGTCTAGATTAAGCCTGGTCCTGGTATTTCAGGAATCCTAAACCCACCCATCTGTAGGTCGAGTCTGGAACTCAGGGCCCTGATCAGGATGAAACACGTGAGGTGCCTGGTGCCATTTAAAGAGGCGCTCACTCTCAGATGCTGACTTACACTCGCATGAGCCCAAGCAGGACGGCCTGCTCACATGTACCCTCCATGCCTCACATATTTTACCTCAAGGCTGAAACTGGCCTTTCCTTTCACTGGGACTGGGGCCTCACCTGAACTCTAGCCTCTTTGGCTGTGATCCTCACAACATGCCTAGTCTTTTCCGGTCTCCCTTCCTTAAGGAACTAGACTATTCCTAAATACTTGATGGACTCTGGAATAAGACATGATCTTAGGTTCAAGTCCTATCTTCACCACTTGTTACTTAACTTCTCTGAACCTCATCTCTATAGTCTGTCCCTATCTGTACAAAAGGATGACAGTATATGCCTCTCTGGATTCTAGAAAATATTACATGAGAGAATAAAGTGTAAAGTACCTGACACATAGTAAGCATGCCATGAGAGGTATTATTGAGAACAATTTAATAACAGGCTTCAAGAATATAAAACACTCTTCCAGGTGCTAGCTAGAGACTGAGAACATGGGCTCAAAGCTAGGAGGATTCAGGGTAACTAAGACGAAGAACTTCTTGACTATGGAGGTCCTGAAGAAAGATGTGGAATCATTGCTGAAGGAGGGCTTTAAAAATGAGAAGTGCTTCTCATCTGCCAGGGATGATTTGAATGTGGTCCCATCAGAGGGGTAGCATGGCTAACATGCTCATTTATGGCTCCTTCTATTGAAGGAATACACAGGATTGGCAAGGAAATCCCCAGGGACTTAAAAAAACCCAGCGCAGACATACTAATACTAATTAACACTAAACATTAAATTAATACTTTTAGTTTCACTAAAAGGACCAATTCAGGGCACCTGGGTGGCTCAGTTGTTAAGCGTCTGCCTTTGGCTCAGGTCGTGATCCCAGCGTCTTGGGATCGAGCCCCACATTGGGCTCCCTGCTCCGCGGGAAGCCTGCTTCTCCCTCCCCCACTCCCCCTGCTTGTGTTCCCTCTCTTGCTGTGTCTCTCTGTCAAATAAATAAAATCTTTAAAAAAATAAAATTAAATAAAAGGACCAATTAATTTAAAGATGAAATCAACAGAATGGCCAGAGGAAAATTTCACTGCTTAGAGTACCGTAAGAGTAAAGTAAAAGAAAGAGAAAAGATTTCCAAAGCTCACTAAGTTTCCCTTCTGGTCTTCGGAAAGGACTCAGTATCCCACCCACCTGGAGTAATTTCTGTTCTCTCCCTTTCACATGTCCCCTTTGGCAACTTAGCACTTCCTTCAGAACATCTTCCTTCTGTCACTCTTACTGTGTTTGCAGCAGCTTCAGTTTGTGTGCCCTCATCTTGTGCTCAATGGAAAGAGTCAACAGGGGATTCATTCTTCCAGGGGTTTCATCTACTTACAGGGAAAGTATGAAGTCACTAGTCAACTTTTCCCCAGGATTAAGGAACCTCAGCCTCCTTTTTTTCTTTAATTCCTTCTCCCAGAGTACAGACAGTAAGCCATCTACAGCTCTCAGGCCCAGCCGTGTGTGGTGCAGGGGGAACATGGGTCAGAGCATGTGTGTGGGACCATTACTCACTTTGCTTTAGAGATGAATTTGTAAGTGTCATTCCAGTAAGCCAGGAGATCCGTTGCCTCTTCATCATATACTCGGATGTTATGATACTCAAAGACTCCTGGGAAGAAGTTATCTATCTCTCGAGTGACATTCAAGATATACCGTACCCTGCAAGGAAACCAAGGGAGAGTATGTGCTCTACTACTCAGGCTAAATCCAATTCCAGCACTGTTTTTCGTATTTAAAATTTGTTTGCTCCCTAGGTTGAAATAAAATACTAAAATATTGAAGAAAGCTAAATAACTAAAGAGACTATATACTTATTTAGTAGAGAAACTAAATAACAGAATCCAGGACATACCTGGGCACCGACGAATTACTGAGAGAAAAGCTGTCTACCAAGTTCAACATCTAAATTCCATTTTCAGTTTATGTACAGTTATACAATCTCATCTTTGATAGTCTTTTGAAAATATGCCTTGTATTTTACTTCAAAAGAATCCAAGGTCCATGATCTGACAATTTCTCTTCAGTCGATAAAATTACCAGAAACATAATTTATTCTTTGGAAGTCATTTCTATTAAATCAGACTATTAACATCTACCTCAAGAAACAAAAACCAACAAAATAGGAAAGGGAAAAATTTCCTCCTATCTTTCTGAATGCTAGATTTTGCTCTGTTACTCTCTGTAAACTACAAGAAAGGCAAAAGAGGCGAGGGCTGGGAGGGTCAGAGGGAAGTTGGACCCAAAACTCTTGTCACTCTCTAGGCTGAAGTCCTGGCTGCCAGAGCAGCAGCTGTGTCTGAGAGTTCTCCCATACCCAGAGGCTTGCAGAGAAGGGTTTCTGTATCACAAATTTCTTCTGCTGTCTCTCTCACTATACAATTTCAATAAATGCCTGGGTTTAATTTGCCAAATGGTTATCTTTTCTCAGTGCTGTGTGGACTTGGACATCACTGGAGTTTACTCCAACAACACAAACAGACTCACTTATTTCTCTCTGCAGAAGCTGCTTCCCTCTTGAAACTACACATAGCGTTCTTACAAACCCAATCTGAAGTCAGAGAAATGACTACAGAAAGGGAGAGCCATAGTTAACCCATTTTGTGGTTAAGGTCAAGAGACCAAAATTTTTCTGAAACATGATCTGAATATGTTTTAACTTTGCATCAAAGTCCATTACTAGGAAGGATTTTTTTTTCTCTTTTTAATTTAAAAACCAAGCACATGTAATTGTGGAAAACAGTACATGAAGTTACTCTATGACCCAGCATATTCCTCTCCTAGGTATAAACCCAAGAGAAATGAAAAATAAGTCTACCCCCAAATTTGTACATGAATGGTCACAGCAGTATTCATAATAACTAGAAAGTGGAAACAACTCAAATGTCCATCAACTGACGAATGAATAAATAAAATGTCGTATTTCCAAACAATGGAACATTATTTGGCAATAAAAAAAAAGGAATGAAGTACTAACAGATGCTACAACATTGATAAACCTTGAAACTATAATGTGAAGTGGAAGAAATAACTCTTAAAAGAGTACATATTATATGATTCCATTTAAATGAAATGTCCAGAATAGGTAAATCTATAGAGACAGGAAGTAGATTAGTAGTTTCTAGAAGCTGGGGGGAGAAGGGAAATGGGGGTGACTGTTAAAGGGTACAGAATTTCTTTTTGGCTTGAAAAATGTTCTAAATTAATTATTGCACAACTCTCTAAAAATAATAAATATCACTGAAGTGTACATTTTAAATGGGTGAACTGTATGTGAATCATATTTCAATGAAACTGTCAAAAGGAAAGCACACTTCTCTTATTTAAAATAAACATGAATAACCTCCCACCTTTAATCCCATACTTTAATACTGGATTATGATAGGACAAGGCTTCCCAAACCTATTTATTACAGAACCCCTAGGCAGCCACTACCAATTGAAATTAGCACTCCTTGAAACTTCTTTGACATTTCTATATGGAGGAGCGCTTTACTTGGGGTGCTAAAGTCAGTAGATTGGGTGAAAATGGCCTTATTGCCAAAATTAGACTTTAAAGTCCCTTAAATCATCCACCAGGGGCAGTGTATGTGTTTTGTAACTATAATTCTTAATTCCACAAGATTTAAGAACCAGTGAATTTATGAAACAAGATCTAAGTAGATGTTTGAGCATCTGCCTATACTGTCTTTTAAGACAAATACATCTGCGTTTTATAATTTAGCATTATAAGTAGTAAATGAGATGAACAGGTATCATCTCCAGCGGGGGGGGTTAGAAGTCAAAGTGCATGTGCGCACGATGTAATTTCAATGCATTTGGCAAGCACTGGCTGTATCAAATCTCAGATTTCATATTAAACACTGTATTACATGCTAGTTTCTGGCAAGTCACAGTCAATTTTTCTATCGTCCCTTCACATTTACTGAGCACCCTCTTGGTAATAAAACTTTGAGCTCGGTAGAGGTACGTTTTACACAAAACTAAGATACAGTCTATTTTCAAGAACTCTAGACTCAATCCTAATCAACTTAAAATTTCCAAGTTCTATTTATTTTCATATCTTAAATTAAGTAACCAGATTCACGTCCCCCTTCTCCCCAACCCAAGAACTCTTTGTATAATTCTCTGGCTTAAATCTTGCTCAAAGTTCATTTTAGCAATTATGACATACCTTTCTTTTGAAGGAAAGGTAGGGAGTATGCATCTAATCATGCTAAAGATAACCAGAAGAGGTTGGCTTACAGCTGAGAAAACAGGCAGCCAGCAACTAGCCATCACTGCTTCTGGGTTTCAGTAGGTCTTATCGCTGTCCACGATTAAGAGTTAGCATGGCCAACTTCAATGAAAAATTTAGGCATTAGCTAAGAAGTAAAAAGGGAAGAAGAATGGCAGCCTTTTGCTTGCTGAATGTTCATGGTGGTCTCAACAGCTACAATCAAACTCAATAACCATGTTGCTTAGGGGCACATTTCTTAATACAAAGTAGGTATTCTTGTTCAATTTCAGAAGCTTGTCCACTTTATATTTATAACCTACTTAGATTTCAAGCACCTTACTAAAAAAGGATAGGGACTGAGTCTTATTTTTCTTTGGATCTCTAGTATCTAGCACTGTACCTGGCTCACAGAAGATGGTCAATAAATGTTGAGTGGATAGCTGTGAACCCAACATATGTAGCTCTGTGTACTCTTATATAAAAATAGGAACCAAAGGCAAAACTATGGAGGCAGTAAAAAGATCAGTGGTTGCCAGGAGTGGGGGTGGGAATAAATGGACAGAACAGAGGATTTTTAAGGCAGTGAAAATACTCTATGATACCATAATGATGGATGCATGATACTATACATTTGTCCAAAGCCAAAGAATGTACAATACTGACAGTGAACTATAACGTAAATATGGACTTTGCATGATTATGATGTTATCAATGACGGTTCATCAATTGTAACAAATGCACCACTCCGGTGGGGATGGTGATAATGGGGAGGGGGGCTATGCATGTGTGGGGGCAGAGGTATATGGGAAATCTCTGTACCTTCTCCTCAATTTTACTGTGCATCTTAAATTGCTCTAAAAACAAACAAAAGGAACCAATAACTACATTTGTTTTAAACAGCAGAAAAGGCATGCACGTTTCTTTTGGAAAGCCTTTCCACTGAAACAGTAGCTCTTTCTTGGAAGCTGTGTGTGGGGGAGGATGAAAACAGTGGGAGAATGGCCACTTAGCTTTTTATTAGATTACACCTGATTACAATCAACTGGAAGCAACTCTTAGGCTTAAAGTTACTCACTGACACCTATATGACAGGAAAAAGTAAAAAAGAACAGTGATTTCTGTCAGGGGGATAAAAGCAATTGCTCTGTGTGCTTACCCTCGGTTCTGTAAATCCTCTAAATTAGAGGCATTCCATTCTGAGCCCTGTGGGGGTGGGGGGGGGGAAGAAAAAGATTAGGGAGTATTAGCAAATGAACAAAATACAATGCTTGTAAAGGAGTCCCATGAAGGAAGAAGCAGAGCCAGTAACATCTACCACGGTTCCTTTCAATAGGTCAGGTACTTTATACATGATCACATTTAGTTTTTACAAGTGATAGGATAAGAAAGTTATCTTCATTTTTACAGATCAGAAAACCAGCCCTCATAGAATTCAAATAATTTTTGCTCAAGATCACTTGCTGGAAAACTGTCTTTGATTATCCTCCAATCTAAGGTAAATGTCATCTGTCTTCCTTGTTTATAGTACTCTGATACTTGTATATTTATGTGCTTATTTATTACCTCTCTCCTCCACTATAATATAAGCTTCTTGAGGATAGCAACCAGATTTCTTGTTCCCTAAGGACACCCTGAACAGTGCCTGGCATTTGGCAGGTATTCAGTTATAAACATTTGTTAAATGAACAAAGTGGCATTATTATAAATTAAACCTAGATTTCATTCTAAAGCCCATATTCTTTTTAGTGCCTTATGTTATATCCAGAGAGAGTGAAATAGCAGCTTCTGTTAAACAAACAATGGAAACATGATATACAACATTTAAAGAAGGAAGAGCTGTACAGATTATCTGAAAGATCTATCATTTGTTAATATTTTACCATATTTGCTTTCTCTCTCCCCTTCCCTTTCTTTGAATATGTTATCATACTTTCTTCCCCTGAGCCATTTGAAAGTCATCTGAGTAATCATGACACTTCAATATTTGATCATGTATTGCTTATGAACAAGAACATTCTCCTATTTCCATTTTTACAACTAAGAAAGAAAACACTAACGCAATGATAGCCTAATACATTATCAATATTTGAAATTCAAAAACTGTCCTCTCAAAACTGTCCTTTATATTCATCCAATCAAGAATCATACTTTGCGGGGCGCCTGGGTGGCTCAGTTGATTAAGCGTCTGCCTTTGGCTCAGGTTGTGATCTTGGGGTCCTGGGATCTAGCTCTGCGTCTGGTTCGCTGCTCAGTGGGGAACCTGCTTCTCCCTCTCCCCCTGCAACTCCCCCAGCTTGTGCTCTCTCTCTCATATAAATAAAAATCTTTTAAAAAAAACCACCATACTTTGTATTTAGTGGTTGTCTAAATGTCTCTTTCTCATTTCTCATTTCTCATGTCTCTTTCTCATTTAATCTGGTCTTGGACAGTCCATCCCAACTTTATTTTGGTTTTCATGATATTGACATTTTTGTTGACTACAGGTCTGTAATCTTGGAGAACTCATCACAATCTGGATTTGTCTATTTGTCTCCTGATAACTAGATCCAGGTCAAAATTCTTGGCAAGAATAATATAAGGATAGTATTGTGTATTTCCTATTGCATCAAATCTTGAGGCACATAACATCCATTTGTCTCATTGTCATGCTGAACTTGAATTTTTTTTTTTTTTAAAGATTTTATTTATTTATTTGAGAGAGAGAGAATGAGAGACAGAGAGCAGGGTCAGAGGGAGAAGAGACTCCCCGCCAAGCAGGGAGCCCGATGCGGGACTCGATCCTGGGACTCCAGGATCATGACCTGAGCCGAAGGCAGTCGCTTAACCAACTGAGCCACCCAGGCGCCCCCTGAACTTGAATTCTTGGTAGGTACCTTTGTATCTGCCACATCCCACTATTGTTAAGGCTTCTTTACAATTAATTAGTAATCTTTAGGTATTAGTGATCTTTGAAGTCAGGTGAATATCCTGTTTCACAATAATCTTTTACCCTATGGTTTTAGCATCAACTGCTGACCTTGTCCAAATAAATTATTTTACTGGACGTTGACAAAATGGTGGTTTTCTAATTCTATCATTCCTTCTGCATGGGAGCTGGCATTCTTCTTTGTAAAAGAGAGCTTCACCTAGTCATTCCTTCCACACTCTGAATGCCACTATGAGTTCTTGAATTGTTTTTGTATTTAGAATGTTATATAATCCATTACCATTTTTTTTTTCCTGACACTCAAATTGTCCTGAATTTGATCAGTGGGAATCTCTTCAAGCAGGCAAGCTCTTTTTGATATGACCCCACTAGTTTTTGAATATTTCTTTGCTTTCTGGCATAAGAAGTTGTTCCAGATTCACTTTGTGAGTGGAATTAGCGATTTCCCCAAGGAACCCTGGTTTCTTTTAGCCAAGAATGATATTTTGCAATCAAAACCTCGACATTAATTAGATATGCTCACAAATATTGGGTGTTACTGCTTCTAAACTTTTCAGTGAACAGATCTAGGAAATACTTGAAAAAAAATATTGAGTTTACAGGAGCACCCAGGTGGCTCAATCAGTTGAGCCTCCAATTCTTGATCTCAGCTCAGGTCTTGACTTCAGGATCATCAGTTTGAGCCCCATATTGTTGACTCTCTTTTTTGTGCCAGGCATGAGGCTAGATATTTGTGCAATCTGATCTGTTTCTATAAGGAGAGAGTAATGAACCGTATCAGGTAGGTATTCATGGAAGGCCATTGGGATAGGCCATGGAAGGCCCCTGGATTAGACAATTAGAAATGGTCATTAGTAACATTAGCAAGAGTGATGAGGGCAGAAATCACAGTGCTGTAGGTTGAGACATATGGGAAATGAGGAATCAGAGGAAGTATTAGATTATATTTCTATGAATCTTGGGAAGGGAAGGGAAGAAAGGAGTGTCTGGAAGAGAATTCAGGATGGAAAGAGGGTTTTTCCACTTTAATATGGGAGAAACTGGTGTTTTTTTTGTTTTTTGTTTTTTTTTGTCGGGGACTGGGGGTTGGAATGGGAACTCATAAACAATAGAAACTTACTTCTCATAGTTCTTTGGCTAAAAAAATTGAATTTACACTGGTACCTCCAATTCAAAGTTAACACAAGGTTCTTCCTTTCTTTCTTGTCCCTTTGTCATCAATTTTATCTCCCTCTTCCACAGTGATAACCTTGGTTTCCAACAACTCATTAACTCTATTTACAAAATAACTTCAACATTACTACACCAATATCACAGCCAATTACAAACCTATTAAGTTCAAAATTTCTTTGCAGTTTTTTTTCTCTCCCCATGAAGAGGTTCAACCAGAATATTATGCTCAAAAGTTATTTAAATTAATTTCCTTCTTTTTAAAATAATTTTTTAAAAGATTTTATTTATTTATTTGGCAGAGAGAGCCACAGCAAGAGAGGGAACACAAGCAGGGGGAGTGGGAAAGGGAGAAGCAGGCTTCCCGCTGACCAGGGAGCCCGAAGCAGGGCTCGATCCCAGGACCCTGGGATCATGACCTGAGCCGAAGGCAGACGCCCAACAACTGAGCCACCCAGGCTCCCCTAAAATAATTTTAAAAAAATATTTATTTACTTGAGAGAGGGCGAGAGCAAGAGAGAGCACAGAGGGAGAGGGAGAAGCAGACTCCCCACAGAGCAGGGAGCCCCACGGGGGACTCGATGATCCCAGGACCCAGAAATCATAACTTGAGCTGAACTCAAGAAACTTGAGTTCACTTAACCTACTGAGCCACCCAGGCACCCCGAATTAATTTCCTTCTGTGAAGTTATCCATTTGCTATATATTTGGGTTCACTTGCTCCTGTTTGTATTCAACTTTAGGGTGTGCTTTTCCCATTTGATTCTGAATATGCAAAACTTTCATAAGATTGAAAGTCAAAAGTTTATTAAAAATTAAACTTGAAGTCTCACTCAGTTCACTTCAATCCCTAAGGGTAACCATTTTCATTAGTTTCTGGCTTATTCTACCTATGTTCTATTTTGAAAACAACAACAACAAGAAATATATCCTTATTACCATTTCTTACTTACCTAAAAGTAGTATACTACATATACTTTTGTTCCTCACTTGCTTCACTTTACAATATATCCTCAGAACCACTCCATATCACAGTTCACAGAGGTCTTCCTTATTCCTTCTTACACCTATTAGCACTTCACTGGATAGTGATAGAATAGTTTATTCAACTAGTCTTCTATGAATGTTGTTTCGTATTTGTGGAAGTGAGGTTGCTGGGTCAAGGGCCAATGCACAGTTTTGTTAGACATTGCTAAACTCCCCTCCACAGAGACTGAAACAATTCTGCATTCCCACCAACAATGTATGAGAGTGTCACTTTCTCCACAGCTTTGCCAACAAAACGTGTGGTTAAGCTTTTGAATTTTTGCCAGTTTGATAGGTGTGAAATGCATCTCAGTGTAATTTCAATTTGCATGTTTCTTAAGAGTAAAAGTGAGCAACTTTTCAATGTTTCAGGTCCATTTCCTTTCTTCTTCTTCTTTTTTTTTTTTAAAGATTTTCTTTATTTATTTGACAGAGAGCACAAGTAGGCAGAGCGGCAGGCAGAGGGAGAGGGAGAAGCAGGCTCTCGCTGAGCAGGGAGCCCAACGCAGAGCTCGATCCCAGGACCCTGGGATCATGACCTGAGCCGAAGGCAGCTGCTTAACCGACTGAGCCACCCAGGTGCCCCCTCAGGTCCATTTTCTATCTTTGGACTCTCTCTTCATTCTCTTTTGAAAAGGCAAACATTTAAAAGTAGGAATTTACCTATTTTAGAATTATGCATTAAATGGAATTTAGCATTAGAAGACTCAGGTTCAAGTCCCAACTTCCCACTCTACTGTGGGGGCACTGGGAAACTGCTTAACCTCTCTGTCTTTGCTTTCCTTATCTGTAAAATGGAACACTCTTCCCACCCTAGTCCTATATACCTAAATGGGTACCTTCTCAAATCACAGATAGAAAGTTTTTACTGATCTCTTCTGCCATGTGAAAGTACAAAGAAGTCTATGACCCAGAAGATGGTCCTCACCTGACCGTGCAGGTACCCTGATCTCAGATTTTAGCCAAAGAACTATAAGAAATAAGCTTCTGTTGTTTATGAGTTCCCATTCCAACCCCCAGTTCCCAACAAAAAACAAAACAAAACAAAAAAAACAAACCAGTTTCTCCCATATTAAAGTGG